CCATGTCAGTCCTCAGATTAAATGAACACTTGATGACAAGTGTAAACATCATTATAACAGACTGTATAGAATCATCTGTCTGTTGTGGGACATCTTCTGAGTTTGTTGTGAGCCAGTTAATACAAAACAGCTTGTTAGAAAAAACTGCATTATGTCAGTGACTTTGCCATTTCGGTCACCTATATTGTGCATATATGTATAGAAAGGGCTACGTTATGTGGGAGTATTTGTCATATATGATCCAGACACACTGAGTCACTTGCTTTAAACCTTAACCAGTCTAGTTTATGGACATTGTGTGATGTGAGAATATGACATCCAGGTAGGCTGGAGATTCCCAAAGCTCCAGTGGGTGAAACTGCCAGTCCAGTAGAAAATGGAAGAGTAGGATAGTATTCAGCACTGCCAGCTGGAGTCTGAGCCTAGATGTGTTTTGCTTTACTTTACGTTTGCTTAGAGATCTAAAGTGTTTTATTATGAACACCCACTGCTTGACTGGTCGCCCACAGACAGCTGTTCAGCTCTTATCTGTTACATTATTTTCTGCTCTTCTCTCTACAGAGCTTCCCATTCTGCCTTATCTTCTGTCTTTCACCCACAGACCACTGTGGCTCTTCTATGGTGACCGCTTGTCTCAGCTCTCTGACTCATCCTTTAATTACCACTCTACTGACCAAGCGTGCTCAGTGTGACGTGTCTGCTTGACCGATTGAGCAAGGAGGAAACAGACTGCCATATTATGTGTCAGGCAGAAAACAATTAACCCTCTCTGACAGTTGACTTGCTGTCCAAGCCTGAGCCACACAATGAACATGTGTGCACATCGTCTCACTGGGTCACCACCGATGGTTTCTGGGAAAGTGCCTTAACGAAGAAGAAAGAGTTCTCAGTAGTGAAAGTCCATGTGTTAGTGTCCTTAAAAAATGGAAAGATGAGGAAATTGTTTCTCTGGAATACATTTTGCTCATATCTATTCCCTGAACAAGGGGTCAATTTAGGATTAAATAGAAGCAGTGAAGTAGCACTTTTGTTTGCTTTTATATTTTTCCACAATTCGCAGTCTTTATCCTTCCTAATTATCAGGACCTCTGTCACAGTCCCACAGACATAGGCTTTAGAGCTGCAAAGTGGGAGGTTTTCCAAGAAAACAACAGTATTGCTCACTTGTTGAATGCGGAAACATTTTTAAGTTGTCAAGATTCTGAGAAGCACCTTATGTAACATCTGAAATAATTAAATCATCATGAACTGAATCCAGTCAAAACTAACGGAATCAAAGCTGAATTGAACTGGGAGATCAGTATCAATAACAGTATGTAAGGGAGGGCACCTTCTCCATATTATTATTTTAAATGCTTCACTTTGCTTTGTTGTGACATTTCACAATTTGGTGCTCAGGGCATAAAACAAGAAATGAGTCATTGTCATGATCTTTTATTGCTTCATTAGTCACATGGAGTCAACTGCATCCTTTTTATGTCAGAGTACAGTCATAGTAAAATCTGGACATATCAGTTTGGCTGTAGTTCAAGAACACTGGGAATATTTTAGTCTAGTTTTAGTTTTCACAAACACTTGAAATTTTAGTTCTTTGTTAGTCACCAGAAGATTAGTTGACTAAAATGTTAAGACCAAGAACAAGAAATAACTTTTTCTAACTGATTTTAGGCTGAAAGAAAATGTGAAATGTGAAAATAAGCCACAGAATGAAAGGCTGTGTCATTAAAAATGCAGTAATTATTCTGTTTTTATAGCCATACTTCACTGTGTTATGCCCATACAGGTAACCTTTATTATCTGACCATTAAAATACATTTGTAAAGAAAATATTTGGAATGTCTTTGCATACAACACAAGCTAAGTGCTACACAGCTAGCTAGCTGCTGCCCAACAGGCTTTACTCAAGCCCAAAACCAATCATGTACATAATAGGCTGTGCTGTTGAATAAGTCAAAATAGTTACAACCTGAATGTTCAAATGTCAGACAGTTGTGACAGATCAGTTGCACATGCACATGCTTTGGCATGGATAGTGGTTTTAACACTGAGGTTAGCCAGGTTAGCTGGCTGGGCTACTGCCTTTTCAGTCTGCTCAGCTTTGTGGTTTTCTTCCCAGCAAGTTTGCAGCCTCAGGGCTTCTCTCCCAGCAAGACGACACAGTCTTTTTCTCTCTGCAGAAGTATAAATGTCAACCCGTTATGTCCAGGCTAACACTGCTGGTTGTGTGTTTCTATTTTCACTGGGAAGATCATGTGTACATGTAATTTTCACCTTCGCCAAGGAGGTTATGTTCTGGTTCCATGTGTGTGTGTGTGTATGTTGGTTAGCAGGATTACAGAAAAATAGCCGGATTGCTCATCAGATCTGATCTGGATTCCTCACGGCTATTCGAATTTAACATTGAAAACCCCCATTTAACACATATTTTCTGCCGTAGCTTGGCCTGTAATGAGGATAGAACCCTAAAATGTTCAGGTAAGATGCACAGTGTAACTACCTGTCATCCCTTAAAAGATGATCCGGATCTGATCCAGATCAAGGACTTTAGGACACATTTTGTGTTGTTCCGGATCTCATGTTGCACAAGGGACCCATTTGTGTGAGCAAATGTTGTGCCTTGGCGGAGCATGTGCTCTCTGACTCATCTAGCTCTTCATGAAATTTTGTAAAAGAATGACTTCTACAAGAGAAAGGACCACACCTGTGGCCAGAGATGGCAGCAAGCAGTGACAGTGTGACTGTACTGTATGTAGAGGTTTTGTTCTTTTGTTGGCAGGGAGACATGGTCCTTCCAGAGATGTTCCTCCAGTATCTTAATGAAAAATGTACACTAGGTTACAGCATGGGCACAGTAAATTATGTAGAAATCAACAGTAGCAGACTGACTTCATACACTCCTACATACAACCAGTTTGAAAAGAGGGCTACCTGTTGGACAGGTAGCTCACCTGAGATAGCAATGAGCTGTATCAAAACAACAAGCTGTAGGTGTTGGGGAGCAAACCAAAACAGCATGAGAGACCTCCCCTCATACAGCAACATCCATACTCCCAAAACAGTCATGTATAGAACGGTTTTAAGCTAAGACATAGCCAGTGCATGATTTTAATGACAAACCATTGATTACTTCTAAGAGAGGAAAGACTGCATAACAAGACTGTGGCCATTGTTTTCACATACCCGTAATGAACTGTTAATGTGCAACGGTACATTTGCACCAATGTTCTAATGAGGCCATGATGGCATTATAAAAACAGAGGGCCTCCCTGTTTGTGCAGTCAGTCTCACACCACAGTGAGATGAGGTTTCTTTTTTGGTTTGCACCATGAATCCTTTTTACACATTGTTCTGAGTTTTGTGTGTCAAGATGAGTCCAAGTAAAGCCTGCTTGTTCAGTACTGTTTTGGATTTTGTTAAGAAGAATAAGCACAGAGTTTGTCTGGTCCCCACCAAAACTGAAAGGAAGCATTGGGGGGCCTTTTATTTAGGTTTTGCTATTAGAATCTGTATAGTGACAGAATTTAACAGTATGACAGTAAAATAAAGAACATAACAGAGGACACTGACATATAGGTCAGTGGCTTTGTGAGAAAACCCAGAGCTTTCAGGTCTGAGGGTGGTCTGTGGTGTGATATGTAGAAAAGAGGACTTTAGGTTTAAAGCAGGAGTGTTTCAGTGACTGCCTTCCTTAAGAATCACGATGCAGCACCCACCGAACAATTTATGTATCGGTTTCTGGTAGTAGGGGGTGGGCAGTTCTGCATGGACCCTCATTATTTGCAGCACATTTGACTGCGACAGCACTGACAGCAGCACCGCAAAAGAGGATGTCTTCGCAGATGGAGTCAAGCATCTTTGTGGATGTAATCTGGATGTATTTTTGTCTTCGCAGATGGAGTCAAGCATCTTTTGTATTTTGTATTGTATTGTATTTTATTAGTCATAAATTGAACATCAGAGCGTTTTTCCCACCCTCAGGATTTACAACGCGTTTTTGTGTAACTTCTGTCAGGCTGAAGTTGTAGATGTCACTGATAATAAGCCAGTAGCTTATTGTTCACTTAAGACTAATAAGAGGTTAATCACACCAGCAAAAGAACATATTGGTCCAGCCCCACTGTCTTCTCCCAGCCTGACTAGTACAGGGTTACCGTGGGTAAAGTGGGAGCTCCGGTGTGGTGTGTGCTGAGTTCAAGCTGGGCAGATCAGTGTGAAAATCAGTGAATGCCAGATGCTCCCTGACCCAAGCCTTCATCAGAAACACATGTCTACTGAGGTGTGTCTCTTCAGTAAAACCCTGTGCTCTGTTTTCCTTTCCTTTCCTTTCTTAAGACCCAGCTTTGCATGAGACACCTTAGTCTCAGCAAACTGCAATTTTATAACTGTGTTGCAGTTTGTCTATGCCTAATTTTTTAATCAGGTGGGTGACAGTTGAGTCATCTCAGTGCTCACCACAACCCCACAGAAGTTATGTCTGTGCTTTAGTGCAGAACAGACTTCCTGTATGAGTCCAAAATTGGTCTTTTAACTTACTGTATGATATCACAGCACAGAGCTATAGTAGTCAGCTGAGATGTGAGTAATGGAAACTTCTCTCTGCTGCTCTGTTGCAATGGTTTGGTCAGCGCTGCAGTGTACTGAAGTCCTCCACCTAGCCCCATCCGTGTTTTCCATGTCCTCTAATTTCAAAGGCATGCCGAGGCCCGATGGAGCTTTTCTGGACTGGACAGTGAGGCTGCTTTGTCTTTCTGTGAAGAACTTATCCAAGCTGCACTATCTCTCCATGTTCAAGTGGTTTTACAAAGTAGCTTTTTCTGCTTGCCCTTCTCGCTGTCTGTCTGGCATGTCGTCCCTCCCTGCTTGGCTGTCCTTTCTTTGCAGCTGCACTGGTGTTTACCAAGCTGAGATGCACTTGCAGTTACAGTGAAAGTGGAAAAACAGTTGGATGACCTCTCCAACCCCCCCCCCCCCACTCCACCCCCCAAAAAGATATCCTGTGGAAATTCATTTAACAGAAACAAAGGCTGTGAATTTTGCAAACACCTGCATTTGTCAGTGTTTTAGTCACCATGAAAAAGGAGAATGTGGGTTTGCACAGCGCTTACTCGACAAGTCTAACTTCAGTATGGCAGCTGCAGCGTAGCCAGCTGGGATTCACAGCAATTACAATAGATTACAGTGGTGACCTAGTTTCCCTGGCAAAAGGTATCAGTGTCCATAGAAACATCTCTAACCGGGCCTTGTAATATGACATCTAAAGTAAGATAGAAAAAAGTCTTCCTTTCTAGTGTAATTCAGTTATTTAAACATAAGCTCATACACTGAATGTGCAAACTTCCTGTTCTGTCACTCATATAGTTACTGTAGCTTCTCATGTTTGCTATTTTCAAATATACGAGCTTAAGCTGGTTGCTAGCAGAAACACCTGTCTATGCTAGTGTAAATATAAGCATTGCATTAAGCCACAATTTGGCAAAAATCTGAATATTTTGTTCATGTAGTAAATGTTGGTTATGATGGAGAATGGTTATTATATGTTCTTTATGGTTATACTGTAAAATGTATTCACAGACCTGTTTACAACAGATTAGAGCTTTTTCCACCTCCAGCCGGGGCTAAGGACGGCGGGGGTTGGATGCTGTACAGACTGTAAAGCCCCTTGATTTGTGATTTGTGATGCTGGGCTGTGTAAATAAAATTTCTTCCCAAATATGACTAACTGGCTGCATTAGGGGAATGGTGTGACAAGTGTGTGTGAAAGTTTTCTTATTTTAAAACGTTTTTTTTTTAAAGCTGTATGAGTTTAGAATCTCACCTGAAAGCACTGACATTGTTTTGCCAGTGCGTAGGTCTAGGAAGGCACGCAGCAGTACTCTGCCATTTTCATTATTAACGTTAAATGTTTCATTTCCTTTATGGTTTTTCCACAGGGTCATCTGAATGTCATGTATTTCCAGTAGCCTAGCAACTGCTGTTGTTCTGCTCTGTATTTTGTGCCCTGATACAGTCCTCTGGCTGCTTCATAGACATGACAACCGGAAGTCTCTTCTGCCATAATGTGTGTATGTGTTTATATATTTATAAATTGATTGTTTCTCTTTTTTCTCCTTTTCTCTTTCCTATTTTAAATGCACATATTTTCTATTTTTTTTCTACTTGGCCAATAAATGTGTTGAACATCACGGCACCACGTATGGCTGCCTTGGCACACTCTGTCATGTATTTGGTGTTTTTCCTCATTCTCTTGGTCTTCTGCAGCCCATCCTAGATACCTTCACCAGAGAAGAACCACTAAACATCAGACAACTAACTCAGAATTCCTTTCTCTGATTTTTGCTACTGCACAAAGCTGTGTGGACATTCTGGTCAGTGGGGCAGTGGCCTTCTATGGGACCTGGTGAAGGAAGGGAGTGGGGGCCCTGGTTAAGTTACAACAGAGAGGGACCTGGACCCGAACATATATTTTATATTTATAGGTGCTTTATTTTCATTTCTTATTTTCCTAATGCACATTCCTTTTTCTTGTTTGCACATTTTTTTCTTCTCTTGTTCTCTCTGTCTCATTTACTTGTCACCTTATGGAAGAACACTACACGTACATTGAGAGCCACTGTACCGGAGGCAAATTCCTCCAATAAAGCTGATTTGGATTCTGAATCTGATTCTGTAGTTTCTACCTGACTGTGGACATAGTGATGGAACAGAACAGTATCTACTTAGAGCAAAGCACTGGCCGAGGGTATGATAGTCTGAGGTGAGAAGAGACGTGTCAGGTTTCACTGAGCTTGTTCAGAAAAGGGGACAGAAATGAAAAGGTTTTATTAGATGCGAGAGCTGTTATTCTCAAACGCCTGTCTATTTTTGCTATGCCACCACAGTGTCAGCAGAACTTTGTTTCTTCCTCATTCACTGCACAACCTGAGCTTAAAATGATCACATAGGCATATGTATTCTTAGACTGGGCTCGGACTAGTTGGTGAGCATAAACACACTCATCTTCAATCTGATAGTGCTCTGCTGTGTGTTCTGAGCATGACTTCCTTCCTTTGTATCACTGTAGGGTGTGAAAGAGGACCTAGCCCAGTGTACACAGCCAAAGTTCCTGGGTAAGGCAGGCTGGGTGAAGAAGGCTCCCGGCAAACTCTTGGCAAGCTATAAGGACCGCTACATCCACGTGGAGAAGACAGAGATTGTGGTGTATGAAAATGAGGTATGATGCCATTTCACCGACAAGTACTCCTCCTTGTCCAGCACTCTCACCAATGTGCACCAAAGATAAATTGATTCTTTATTTGTCATTGTTAGAAGACAATGAATATTTGTTTGGCATCTCCTCATTAATGTAAATAAATAAATAAAGCTACTCTAAAACATTAAAACATCAAAAGTGCATTTCTTTAACCCTGGGAGAACAACTTTAACAGTTTTTTGAAAGAAACTGCATTTCAGTCATGAGACTGCTTTCTGTGTTTTCAGGATTTGTAATTTACCCGTTCTTTGTGTTGCAGGACCTGCAGAACTGCTTAGAGAGGATTGACCTGGAAAGCTATGACAAATGTCATGAATTAAAGAGCCCCTTCAAGAAGAAGCACAGACTGATACTGATTCGATCAGCCAAGTCTGGAAATAAGGTGAGCAGACAGATTATTTGGGTGAGAACTTAGCGTACATGTGAAATGAAAGATGATGAAATGTGACAGGCTGACAGGCGCCGTGGGTGAGTAGTAAGGCTTATAGACAGACCGCTTCTGGTGCAGGAACAACAGGAACATATAACAAGTAGAAAGACTAGAATCAGAGTCTGCTGCATAAAAGAACAAATTAAAACCTGCTCACTTTCAGTCAGGACGAATCCTCACTGTTTCGTGACACTCAGAGCCACAGAGTTGACATTAAAGGGATGTGTTGTAGTTTTTCTGACAGCTAAGGTTTTAAGTTGTACAGGTATGTGCCAAAAAATTAGAATATCGAGGAAAAGTCCATTTATTTCAATAATTTGTTTCAAAAAGTGAAACTTGTATGTTATATTAGTTCACTACACACAAAGTGAAATATTTCAAGCCTTTATTTGTTTCAATTTTGATGATTATGGATTAAAGACAAAAAAAAAACCCAAATCCAGTATTCCACAAAATTAGAATATCATGACAAAGTTCAACATTGTAGGCTCCCTGTGTCCCAATCTAGTCAGCTAATTAATGCAAAACACCTGCAAAGGTTTCCTCAGCCTTGAAATTGTCTCAGTCTGGCTTAGTAGGCTTCAGAATCATGGGGAAGACTGCTGACTTGACGGTTGTGCAGACGACCATCATTGACACCCTCCATAAGGAGGAAAAGTCTCAAAAGGCAATTGCAAAAGAAGCTGGATGCTCACAGAACGCAGTATCAAAGTATATTAACAGAGTGTTAAGAAGAAGGGAAGAATGTGGCCGGAAAAGGTGCAAAAGTGACAGGGATGACCGCAGCCTTGAGAGGATTGTCAAGCAAGGGCGATTCAGAAATCTGGGGGAGCTTCATAAGGAGTGGACTGAGGCTGGTGTCAGT